AAAAGTGCCCAAAATGCACAGAATTAGCATGTCTAGTGAGTTTTAACAAGAACTTGAGTAGGCAAATAAAAGAAAATAAAGACTCTAAAATATTTATAGAAGATTTAGGCTACCCGGTAAAAACTTTTTAATTATTAATTATTTTTAATTATTCAGTTTGGTTGAAAGTTGTGTATTATATATATATATAAAAACTAAAGTAAACTAGCCAGAAAATATTATATATAAACGTTATTTTAGTTCATGTAACGTTAACACACAGACAGCGACAGGATAGCACAACCCAAATCAAACCCGAGTGTGTGGTTTATTTGTGTGTTTTGTTTTTTATCCGCGGAGTTGCGGTCTTGTAAACATCGAAAGTATGACTGAAACTAATAGATTGGAGCCATTTTCTGGGTTGTTTTGTTGTATTACATTTAACTTATATGCGAATGTTGTACACCTCCCCATTACAAACTTTCAAGACTATCAATGTTATAAAATGACCAACTTCTAAAAACAAATGTATAGTTGTTTTTGTAAAGAATTGCTCGCTTATATATAATGCCGAAGTCATATTTCAATGTCTTTGGAAAACAAGAAAAAACACAAAATGACTTAAATGTTATGAGGCTAACGGCTTTGGAGCCGCTGCTGTGACACTGTACAAACGCTTCCAGTGTGAATACTCTCGCGCGTCTGCAGCTGCAGTGACGATGTAGTTACGCTGACGCGCTGCTCAAATGCCGCTCACGCTTGCGGTGTGAAACCTATGTGTGAAACGGCCATAAGGCTGCATCGAAAGGTAACTTCGCGTCTGCTGCCATGTTTGATCCATAGGTATAAACAAACTGCAATCGGTGTGTCGCATAGACGCGTCATCGTCTTGCTGCTCCCTCCCCGTTCTGTGATTGGTTCCCTAAATGAGGCGAAAATTTGGTCCATGGTATCTATACTGCCTTTCAGCGTGAATAAAATCGCGCTGCGGGAAGGCAGCAGGGGGAAACCCAGACTAATGCCGTTTAGTGTGATAGTGTAAATGTTAGAGCAAGTGAAACAGCTCTTCGTTACCTCAAGTTTAATTCGTCTAATAAACTGACCTGTGCGAGTAATTTAGCACTTGCGTGTAGTTCGGTAGAATGAAATGTCCTTATTCTTTTATATCCGTGGGACTCGCGTTGCGTGTGGCGCTGGTAACGTTATACGTCTAGCAATCGCGCCCTGCTTCATACCACAGTCATGTTAAAAACATCAATGTATTCACTCATCCATAAAAGATCCATCAGCTTGACGACAAGATCCATAATTACACTTAATGAGGAATATACGTCATCAATATACACTTTTGTTATTGTAAGAGGTAGCGACCCCTGGTGGCGAAAAAATCCTGCATATTGTACCTTCGGCAGTGGCTCAGTGGTTCATGTAGATTGTCTACGAACCGAAAGGTTGGTGGTTCAATCCCTGGTTCCACCTGACCAAGTGTCGAGGTGTCCATGAGCAAGACACCTAACCCCAGCTGCTCCCGACGAGCTGGATGGCGCCTTGTATGGCAGACACCGCCATCGGTGAATGAATGAGTGTGTGAATGGGTGAATGTGAGGCAATATGTAAAGCGCTTTGGTGGCCATTGGGTCTGTGAAAGCGCTATATAAATGCAGTCCATTTACTATTACCATTTACCTTTAAGTTAGCAGCCATATCACCCTGTAGCCCAAGACTGGTTGCCTACTGAAGCTAAGCAGGGCTGAGCCTGGTTAGTACCTGGATGGGAGACCTTCTGAGAAAACCAGGTTGCTGCTGGAAGAGGTGTTAGTGAGGCCAGCAGGGGGCGCTCACCCTGTGGTCTGTGTGGGTCCTAACGCCCCAGTATAGTGACGGGGACACTATACTGTCAAAGAGCACCGTCCTTCGGATGAGACGTTAAACCGAGGCCCTGACTCTCTGTGGTCACAAAAAAATCCCAGGATGTCTTTCGAAAGAGTAGGGGTGTAACCCTAGCCTGACTTCGTCATACTCATATTCTAGTCAGAATGTGAGTCTGATACTGCTCAATAGGGCTTTGATTATGAGGCGTGTCTTAACCGAACCAGGAAAAAAAAAACTCTGCACTCAATTGGATAGACCTACAACCAATGAGAGCAACGCAGTAAGTCAACTTCTTTGCATAGCACAGTTGTCAACTACAGAACTCAAATGCACGCACGCTGGAAGAAGTAAAATAACGAGTGTTGCTTATTTTACTTGGTCCTCTATGAGTGCGACCAAAGGAGAAACCACAATGACCACAGGGTTTTCATTGCGTCCCATCTTCTTAGTGACCATCGGAGCCAGCTGATAAATTAAACTTTTGCCGAATCCCGTAGGAAGGACGGCAAACACATCTTTCCGATCGACAAATGCCTTGATTGCAGTTCTCTGTTCGTCTATTAAAATGAATGTCGATTTCTTTTACAACAGACGCGATAGCGGAATCTATACATCTCAGTTCTCCAGCGGCAGTCAACTCTGAGGGAAACCAGTTAAGCGCTCTTTGATAACGTGATGATTACGTCCCTGCAGATCATCTGTCCATCATCGTATAAAGCCCGCCCTGGCAATTTGATTGGCCCGAACATTTTTTGACTGATCATAATTACTCCTCAAAGGAGCGAGTCCAGACCGAACTTCCCGACCAAAAAATGTTGTGGGCGGGGTTCGGGCTGGCATCCAGGCTAGTGTAACCCCGGCATCCTGGCCAAATTTGCCCAGTGGCCTCTGTCCATCATGGCCTCCTAATCATCCCCATATACTGATTGGCTTCATCACTGTCTCCTCTCCACCAGTAAGCTGGTGTGTGGTGGGCGTTCTGGCGCAATATGGCTGCCGTCGCATCATCCAGGTGGATGCTGCACATTGGTGGTGGTTGAGGAGATTTACCCCTTCTATGTAAAGCGCTTTGAATGCCAAGAAAAGCGCTATATAAATGTAATGAATTATTATTATTATTATTATTTAAGTGTCACCCGCCCCTTTTTTGAATAGACATGAAAATGCACATTTCGAAATTAAATGGTTGTAATTCAAGAATGCTTTGGTATATAGATATAAGATGGTATTGTTTTAAAGAAGACATTTGGCAGATTTTTGTAGAAGTGAAATAAATTAAGAAAGTGAAACAGAAAAAAGTTATAGAAGTTTGAGTTATGACAGTGAACTATGAAAATGTACAATGTAAAAAAAAAAATATTATTTATATTTTATATAAAATATATATTTTCAAAACCTGGCCGACTCTAAAACTGCAAATAAATCAAAGCCAAACTCTGAACAAGTTGTGTTTAAAATTTTAGGTTGATATCTCAAAAAATTATGTTTGGGCGCAGTACCAAACTTTTTCACTAGATGACAACCAGACTCCATTACTGCCCATATAAGGGCGCCTCCATTTCCATATGTGTTTTGAGTGATATGAACCATTATTTCCACAATTTTCAAACAATTTATGAAGTAGACATCCTATTTAGAAGTAGTATTAGAAGTTTGGCAGATTTTGATATGAATTCAACCTCTAATAATCACATAAAAAGAACACACATGTGCGTTATAGCTCACCCCCACCTCACAAATGGTGAAACTATTATTTTTTTCTTCTTCATATTTAAACATTTTTTAAACCTTTTTTTTTCTAAAATAATTGAATGGATGTTATCTTTTGAACTCTTGGCATGAAAACAAACTGAGGTTTCTACCCTTCTTTCATGATTTTTCATGTTCATCACTATTTCAAAAATAAAGGTCTAAACACGCCTTAGGAGTATACAAATATTCTTGTTGCAAATTGATAAATTACGGCTCCTCTGTAATTTATTTTGAAAGTCAATCACCAAATATGGAAACTAGAGATTGTAAGCTTTCAAATGATATATAGTTTGTCAAGATTAGTTTAGGTTTAGTATAGGATATTACTGTTTTAAAAATGTAATGGATTTGGGCCCACCGGTGGGCCGGTGACACTTAAAGTTAAATACCATGGCTATTATTACGTTTTTATGTCACATTTGCTTTTGTAACCACAATCGGGTAGGTTTAGGGTATAGTGTAGGTGTACGTTATTTTAAAACGGGATGGAGCATTAATCTTTTTTCGCCACTCACCGGACATTTCAACTCAGAACTGCGATGATACATACAAACTTCGACGTAATAAAACGTTGCCACATTCACATTCATCTGTTACAGAAAAAAAGACTAAACAAGCTTTTAGCGCCACTCACTGGTCATTTCACTTTGAAACTGTTGCGAAACCTGTACAACGCAACGTATTTTGCATCTTGCAAAAATTTTGCCCCAGGTACGTTTTTCAAATTAGCCAGAGTTGCAACATAGCATTTTAGAGCAAATTAAATTCAAAACAGCTCAGTCTGTGTCACAGCACACACAACCAGCTGACCGAGAATTATCCCCCGTCAGAGCGGCTCGTAACGCTGCGAAATCCACCGGCCAAAGGGAAAATGACTGGCATTTGGTGTTTGTAGTGTTAATAAAGGGCTGGAGAGAGTAAAGCTGAACATTATAATCCATGTGTAGAAACTCTTCCTGAAGACATTTAATATCTGCTTTACAGACGCTCATGTGCAAATACTTTCTGTTTCACAAAACTGGAGCTGATGTTAAAATACTTTAAAAACTGTTTTAGAATTAATTTTCTACAAGTGAGTCATGGACATTGGAAACTAATTTTATTACTAATAATGCAATTATTTTACTTCTGGATTTTAACGCCATGCGGGAAATCGCTACAAGAAAGAATAATGCAAAAATGTTCTTCACAGTATATGCACTTCTCACACGTTTTACACACATGTAAAGCAACACTTCACTATCATGCACTGACAAAGTGTCACTATACAGCAATTATTGCCGTCTCTCAACACTCAGTTGATCAGATCAGAGGAAGTTAATAACCACAGGAAGAGCTGATAGTGTTTAAAGGAGGAGCTGTAACTATGTATAATGAAGAGGAGGAGCTGTAGCTATATATAATGAAGAGGAAGACTGACAGAAACAGAAATGTCTGATAAGTGTGATCTGTGTCTGCTGGGACTGATCATTCTCTCTTCACTTCTCACAGGTAAAGAAATCTGTATTTTCTCTAAACACATTTAGTGGAATTAGTCTGGAAAGAGTTCATTTGAACATGCTCAGTTTATTCTTGTACACATTCATGTTGTGATCTCAGAGTTGTGTATTGATACACACAGATCATACTGTATTATTCCTGATACTGGACATAGAGTCACTCAAACATCTGATGATGAAGAATGATCTTCATATTAAGAGTGTGTCAGTGATTTGAACAGCTCTCTGATAAAGTCAAGTCAAGTCATCCTCATTCATTTATAGTGCTTTTAACAATGTAGATTGTTTCAAAGCAGCTTTACAGAGATAAACATATCATTTAAGGTAACAGAGATTGTTTTGGCTTTATAGCGGTTCTTGAATAATGTTATCTGTAGAGTGGGAAAGGGATCCTCCATAGGGAGAGGATAGTTGATACTTCAGCACTGCATTGTCATCGGGTCCAGGCGAAGCTCCTTCGTCAGATCTGGATACGGCCTGGATCCGGCAGGCTGCGGGAAAACCTCGGGATAAACAAAGACACTAATATTAGCGTAGATTCCATTCTTCTTATGATGTAACGAGTAAATCAGGATTTAAGGGAAGTGTTCCCAGTTCCGGCTGACCTAATCTATGCAGCCTAACATTGAATTATAGAAGTCTATAATGTATTATGTGTATGCTAGGTCAAAGAGATGTGTTTTTAGTCTAGCTTTGAACTGACAGAGTGTGTCTGCTTCCCGGACAATGGTAGGAAGATTGTTCCAAAGTTTTGGTGCTAAATAGGAAAAGGATCTACCGCCAGCAGTCAATTCTGATATTCTAGGTATTATCAACTGGCCGGAACTTTGAGATTGCAATAGACGTGAAGGACTATAATGCGTTAAGAGCTCGTGTCACGGGTGAGGATTAGGAAGGAGGCAGAACTGTTAAAGCGGAACCTTTGATTCCGGCCGGAGTTTCCTATGGGGAGTGCTTTCGGCGGGGGACCAATGGATTGCTGGTTCCAGGTGAATGGGGGAATGATGGGATTGATGAGTGGAGTTGCAAACAGGTGCGGGAGGAAGAAGATCAGAGCGGCGATCGGTGTGCGTGCTGTAATAGGGGAGTATAAAAGGGTATTGTGGTTGAGTCCAAGGGTGTGCGTCGAGTTTTTCGGGTGGGAGAGGAGAAAGAGAGAGATTTGGACTCGGGCAAGGAGAAAGACGGGCTGGAGGAGAAAGGGAGAAGCTAAGGAGAAGCTAAAAAGAAGTCAGTACCTTGGGTGAGATAAGTGTCGAACTCTAGCCCGATTATGGAACAATTGACGTCCCTGTGAATTGTATGGAATAGTATGGTGAGTGAAAGTTCGCTGGAGGACCTGTACTACATTGAGTGAATTGTGCTTCACAGCTGTTTCCCAGCTTACATTTACATTTACATTTATTCATTTAGCAGACGCTTTTATCCAAAGCGACTTACAAATGAGAACAATAGAAGCAGTTAAACTAACAGAATAGAAGGACAACAATAAGTAAGTGCTATAACCCCTCTCAGTTTAATTTTAGTGCAGTTTTTTTTTTTTAGTTTTTTTTTTTTTAGAAGAGAAAGTGTTAATTCTACTGAATCAAGTGCTGCCGAAAAAGATATGTCTTCAGCAGTTTCTTGAAAGTGGCTACTGACTCAGAAGCTCTGGTTGAGTTAGGCAGATCATTCCACCAACAGGGAACAGTCATGGTAAAGGTCCGAGAAAGAGATTTTGTGCCTCTTTGAGATGGTACCACAAGACGACATTCGCTAGCAGAGCGCAGGTTTCTGGATGGCACATAAGTCTGAAGTAATGAGTTTAGGTAAGAGGGAGCAGTGCCAGTGGTTGTTCTGTAGGCAAACGTCAGTGCCTTGAATTTAATGCGAGCGGCAACTGGCAACCAGTGCAATTGTGTGAGTAGAGGAGTAACGTGTGCTCTCTTCGGCTCATTGAAGACTACTCTGGCTGCAGCATTCTGGATCAATTGTAGAGGTTTGACAGAGCAAGCTGAAAGACCAGCCAGGAGAGCATTACAATGGTCCAGTCTGGATAAAACAAGTGCTTGGACAAGGAGTTGTGTGGCATGCTCTTTAAGGAAGGGCCTGATCCTCCTAATGTTGTGCAAGGCAAATCTGCAGGACCGGGCAGTTCTAGCAATGTGGTCTGTGAATTTCAACTGATCATCACCAGCTAGCTTAACATCAGCGAGTGGTGGACGAGACCTCATGCCTGCGCCTTCTCTGTGAGTTGTGAGATTTGCAGTGCTTTATATATATATATAAGAAGCACTAAAGCTATGAAGCTGTGAAGTGTACTCGCCTCCCTTCTCTCTGTCTGAGTCCAGTGAAGAGCCGCTAAAGCTGTGAAGTGTACTCGCCTTCCTTCTCTCTGTCTGAGTCCAGTGAAGAGCCGGCTAAAGCTGTGAAGTGTACTCACCTTTCTTCTCTCTGTCTGAGTCCAGTGAACAACCGCTAAAGCTGTGAAGTGTACTCACCTTTCTTCTCTCTGTCTGAGTCCAGTGAACAACCGCTAAAGCTGTGAAGTGTACTCACCTTTCTTCTCTCTGTCTGAGTCCAGTGAAGAGCCGCTAAAGCTGTGAAGTGTACTCGCCTCCCTTCTCTCTGTCTGAGTCCAGTGAAGAGCCGGCTAAAGCTGTGAAGTGTACTCGCCTTCCTTCTCTCTGTCTGAGTCCAGTGAAGAGCCGCTAAAGCTGTGAAGTGTACTCGCCTCCCTTCTCTCTGTCTGAGTCCAGTGAAGAGCCGGCTAAAGCTGTGAAGTGTACTCGCCTTCCTTCTCTCTGTCTGAGTCCAGTGAAGAGCCGCTAAAGCTGTGAAGTGTACTCGCCTTCCTTCTCTCTGTCTGAGTCCAGTGAAGAGCCGCTAAAGCTGTGAAGTGTACTCGCCTCCCTTCTCTCTGTCTGAGTCCAGTGAAGAGCCGCTAAAGCTGTGAAGTGTACTCGCCTTCCTTCTCTCTGTCTGAGTCCAGTGAAGAGCCGCTAAAGCTGTGAAGTGTACTCGCCTTCCTTCTCTCTGTCTGAGTCCAGTGAAGAGCCGGCTAAAGCTGTTAAGTGTACTCGCCTTCCTTCTCTCTGTCTGAGTCCAGTGAAGAGCCGGCTAAAGCTGCGAAGTGTACTCGCCTTCCTTCTCTCTGTCTGAGTCCAGTGAAGAGCCGCTAAAGCTGTGAAGTGTACTCACCTTTCTTCTCTGCTTGAGTCCTGTGAACAACCGCTAAAGCTGCAAAGTGTACTCGCCTTCTCTCTGCCTGAGCCAGTGAAGGGCCAGCTAATGTCGCAAAGTCTACTGACCTTCCTTCTCTCTGCTTGAGTCCTGTGAAGAGCCAGCTAAAGCTGTGAAGTATACTCATTTTATTCTCTCTGTCGGAGTCTAGTGAAGAATTCTTCGAAGCTGGGAATCATATCCACTCCTTCCTCCATTCGAACCCTGTTGAAGTGAACGCTGAAGCAACTACCATAATTGTTTTAACCCTCTAGGCGCCACGGTCGAGTTTACTCGACAAGATGCGGCACTGAATAAAACGGCCGATTTTGTCAAATTGGGTGTCAAATTTCGTTCGACCTCCCCTCCACTGGATGGCAGACATGTCATACTTCATCCCCGAATCAAAAAAACGTCATGTTTCTATACAAAATCTTCGAGTTAGAGCGCATTGAATCAGTGCGATCAAAAGCGGAGCAAGTGTGCGAGTGAGCCATTTTATCAGAGCCTCTCCGCAATCGCGGCGACAGTATTGTGTTGGAGACTTTGTCTAATACCACTGGGTATGTTAGACGAGGTCGAAGTATTCATAGGACAGTTAGGAGGCGATGTGGAGGCAGGGTGGGGAGTCGCAATGACAATGACAGTAGTCCGAGCTGTGCACACTCGAGGCAGATCTGGCCGCGCTGCTCGTATCATCTCACTCATGATCTGTGCCTTGCCGTCGCGAGTGAGCATTTGAACTAAACAGGTCTTGTCTACTTGTGTTTGTATGTCATATGAATAATATATATGTGCCCCATACATGGAATCAGAGTGCCTACTGTATTTAGTAAATGGAAAATCTCTACAGCAAAAGGCAACCACTACATGCATTCGGTTTGTTTCTACCATTTATTAGTAATGATTTACACAGTTTGTTTACTACTTACTATATACCTGAGCATTCAGTATTGTGCAATATAGCATACAGAAGGTGATGGACATTTTGGGAGGAAAGAAGTGCTGCATTTTATCATTTAAACATGTGACTTTTCATGAAAATTCTATAACCCAAGATTGCCGCCACCATATGACGTCATAATATGCTAATTAGATGGGGAAATGTAATCCCTACATAAACTTTGGGTCATCCTTAATATTTCTCTAATTTACAGAAAGTCTCTATCTTTTATCACTTTTAAGATATAGCCTTTTGAAATTAAAATGTCAAAATCGAACGTTTTAGGAAAAAACCTCTGGCGCCTAAAGGGTTAAGATTAGTGTATTATTCTATTTTATGATGCTGAAAACTATATCACCTGATCATCCTTGTTCCTGGCTTTCTTTGTAACATTTTTTACTAAAACACATACTTTTTTACAAAGACCACAAGCTCACAAAAAAAGCCAAAAGTCAAACTGCCCAACTAAATGAAACACTGATCACCATAATGGAACATTTTGAATAAATCATCAACATCTAAACCTCTGTTAATTTTCAATAAGAACTTCTGTAGACGTCTGACAGAAATAAAGTCAGTCTGGTTAGTAATAAGTGAAGCTGGTAATGCTGTTTGTGGAGTTGTTTAATCCTCCTCTGCTGAGATCACAGATTTAATGTATTTTATCTTCAGTAGATTTCATCTAAGTCTGTGTCTGAAGACAGTTGTAGTTCTTGTGTTTCTCTTTTCTTCAGAAACCCACTTTAAGAAAGAAGAGGAACTGTTTTGTTCTCTGTCTAAACTGGGTTCAGATATGATCACAGATGTGTGTGGGTTAAACCAGTGTGGTCAAACTAACTGAGTTATCA